ACCTTCATCCTAACAGCAGGTAACACTTACCTTCATCCTAACAGGTAACACTCAGATATTCATGGTTTATGAGGACAACGTCAGATATTCATGGTTTATGAGGACAATGTCAGATATTCATGGTTTATGAGGACGACGTCAGATATTCATGGTTTATGAGGACRACGTCAGATATTCATGGTTTATGAGGACAACGTCAGATATTCATGGTTTATGAGGACGACGTCAGATATTCATGGTTTATGAGGACGACGTCAGATATTCATGGTTTATGAGGACGACGTCAGATATTCATGGTTTATGAGGATATCAGATATTCTCCTGGTTTATGAGGACGGCGTCACATTCTCTCTCTCTGTTTTCAGATCTGATCTTCAATCCTGTTCTTTCTTCCTTCCCTGAGCTGCTGGACCAGCCGGACCTGCTGGATGCTCTCAGGGTCAGTAGTTATAATTCTGTTATTAATAGTTAAATATATATATTATAAAAACTGTGTCTGCATTTCCTCCAGGAACTCACTCCTGCTAAATTAAGACGCTTTTGAAACAGGATCCAGAGTTAAATTGTCTGAGCAGTCAGTTTAACTTTAACCTTCACAGATTCTTTCATTTGTTAGCGGTTTTAAAGTAACTCTTATCTGTCAAACAACAGAGAGGATTCTTATAACACTCCAGTGATACTTTTCACAAACTCGGCTTTAAAAACGAGCCGTTTTATCCGCCTTGCTCTCATATTTATAGCAAACATAATTCTTATTATAAGCAAATCTTATTTTGTGTAATTTTAAATGACAGAAATTAAATCTGTCCAGTGTTCAGAGCTCCTCAGACAGTGTGACACATCTCATCTGTTTCATACAGACATCCTGAATACATTCATTACACTCACAAAACAACAATCGCTCAATAAAACCTGTGCTCAATATTAAACTAAATATAAGAGGTGTGTTCTTCTTTCAGAGGGTCTGGAGGGATGCTGAGAACAACATGAGCAGAGCTCAGAAGGTCAGAGTGTGTGTGTGCGTGTTTGTATGTGTGTGTGTGTGTCAGTGTGTGTGTGTGTGATACCAGTACTGACCTGTAGAGGGAGCCTACAGTCTAACTAAACTGCTAGTTTCTCCTCCACCATGACGAAGTGTAAACATGTCTCTATCTGCTATCACCTATCATCTGAACTCTTCCTCTCCTTTAGAGAGACTCGTCCTTCTTAAAACACGAGTTCCTCAAAGTCTACACGTCCTCCGTCTACTTCCTCCTCCACTCTCCCTCGCTGCCCCGCCACCGCTGGGCTGACCCGCCTACAGAGGAGCAGCGGGCCCGAGTCATCTACGCCGCCGGAGAACCCGGTGAACCCGCGGGCCCCGAGGTGTTTGTGGACGCCACGCGTCAACATCTGGCCTTCGACATCACAGAGCTGACATTTGACCTCCTCCGTGTGGCGCGGTAGAGAGGGAGGTCCAGTTAGAAGAGGATCATCTTCGTATTCAATGTGTAATAATTGTTGGTTGCAGGTCTGTTTGTTGGGATTTATTGTCTCTACGAATGAAGTGAACAGGTTACAGTAGAACACGAGACACATTTCTGTAATAATAGAACCAAAAGTGACATTATTGGCATGTTTTTATGCTTCTAGTTATTGTTCAATTTTCTAATAAACATTTTTTTTACCTGACTGAGCTGCTGCATTCATCCAATTAACATAAACTAGAATTAAGAGACTCGATGAAATGTGATCGACTTTTTACAGAAGAGACCTTTTCACCTTCAAGGGAAACTTCACAAAAACACTTTTAGATTATTCTGCTCGAGTTGTGAGAGTTTAAATGTTTTCATTTATTTATTTTAAAGAGTTAAAGGTTTTTTCAAGAATCAAAATGAACAAAATAACATTTACAGTATTTATTTAACCCTAAAACTAACTCACATTTAACCCACAACACACAGACACACACACACGATATCTTGTATTTCCACATTCCAGCGCTGTTTTCATGGCGATGGTGCCCCTGGCGTTGTTGTCTAGGTAACGGGATATGAAGGAAGCAGAAGAGAAATCCTGATCAATCATTATTTTATATTTAAAGCTTCTGAGCAAAGAGTGAGACAAACATTTATTAATCTTTATATTTTTCTTGATCTTTATATGCAGGCCTCTGCTAACTGTCTTCGTACGGTGGACGCAGCTTACCAATGCTTCACTGTGCTTACAATACTCCTTGCGTTCTCAGGACTTCTTTATGCTCGCTGTCCCAAATGCCAGAACGGAAATGGGAAAAAGGGCATCTGTGTACTCTGCTCCCTCATCATGGAATATGTTGCAGAATGATTTAAAACTAAAAGAACCGATACCGCTCACTGCTTTTAAATCTAAAATGAAAGAAATAGAGGCAGGTTCCAAAAATGTCAATGTTTTTTAAATGAACTCGGTTACGTGACTGTCTCTTAACTTTGAGTTTCTTTTAACTTGTCTTGTTCTGTGTTTCCTGTCTGTAACTATGTGCTTCTTATGCCTGTCTTGGCCAGGTCTCCTTTGAAAAAGAGATTTTTAATCTCAATGGGACTCACCTGGTTAAATAAAGGTTTAAATAAATAAAAACATTTAAATAATTAGGCAGATGGAGATGGAATAAAAAAAATTAAATATAAATTAACAGCATGACATAAAGATGCTGATGTTACTGATCAATAATAATAATAATGCATTTTATTTTACATGACAAAAGATTAGCAATGAAACATACAATAAGCATTAGTAATACAACATTAATAAAATCAACAATTCAAATAAACAACAAAACTCAGCAGAGCTCAAATATCGGTTTACAATAAGATGCAGTTGCTGCAGTTAAAGTGAGCAAATGTGAAACGAGCAGCTTGTGTCTCAAAGCATTAGCATTAGCATTAGCATCCGTCTCACAAGTTCTATTTTCACTAAAACAATGATTTTCATCATTAATGACATTTAAAAACTTAAATCTATCAATAAATCTTTATGTCTATAAAATGTCAAATACAAAATGTTCTTCACTGACTAGAAGTTTGTTATAAAATTGTTTTTCTTATCAATGACTTGATTGACTTAATCATCAAGTGCTTTTTGTCCTGAAGAGAAATGAATTTGTTCACTTAATCACTTAATGACCCTTTAAATGGTGAAGAATGAGCAGGAAACATTCCTGAATGAGACGTGAACATCTGATCATCTCTGAATATGAAGCTGAAGGTGGAGGAATGAGACTCAACCACAGACAGAAAACCTCTCACCTCCTCCTCTTTGTGCCACAGGAGGACCTTTGTGTCTGAGGAGGAGGAGGAGGAGGAGGAGGAGGAGGAAGGAGAGCAGGAAAGTGGGAGTTTCCAGGAAATAGTTAGAGACCGGAGCTGGAAAGATGATCCAGGAAGCCGTGGGCTGTTTTTTGTTTAAATGAGTAAACATTCATTACAAGTTATGGAAAGAATAAAATCAATAAAATGACATACCTTTGGAAGTTTAGTCGTGTTTGTGTCAGAATGACATGAAGGATGTTTAATGTTGGTAAAGCATGTGTGTCTCCTGAGGTCAGAGGTCAGATCACCTGGAACCAGCAGGAATATATATTTGTGTGTTTTTTTTTAAATGGATAACAAATGTGTGCTTTTTAACATTGAGGATTTAAAAGACAATGCATTCTTTATCATTGTGTGTGTGTGTGTGTGTGTGTGTGTGTGTGTGTGTGTAACGACACCTGACGCTGGCAAACAGCCTTTTCTATTTTGACAGAGCTGACAAGGGGTTCCCATGGAAGTGTGTGTGTGTGTGTTGTAACCAGATCCACAGTGGAGGAGGTTGTCTAAGGTGTGTCTCTCTGAACACAACGTACACTAAAGAAAAACAGGTTTGAAACAGGAAACTGGTTCAAAATGTTTTTAAAACAGAATCTCCAAACATTTCAGGAACCATCATTTTATTTGTGTGTATAAACTATGAAGCGTGGTGTAAAATATATATATAATGTAAAACTTGGTAACAGTAGAAATCCCATGTTTTTTTCATTTCCCTGTTTTCTTGGAATCAAACAAATGAAAGCACAGAACACATTATAAATATATAATTTAAGGTCATTTAGAATTTATGTTTATTAAGAATCACTTGTTATTTGAATGAATAAGTAAATAAGTAAATATTTGTACATGTACAGATAAAACAAAAATAGATGAAGATATGAGTTCAGCATTAATGCTGATATGTTCATTTCTAAAGACACGTGCTGGCTGTTTGCTTTAGAACTCACAAGACAAGTTTTAATCAGTGAAGATTACTTCATCAGCATATTAATGCTAATTAAAATCAAAGGAAGGCATGGTCATCTAACTGGTTATCCCTCCAAACAGAAGAAATACAGCTGAATGAACTTAACAAAATAAAAGACATTTCTGCTTTTTGTTCCAAAGTGTTTAAACTGGCTGCCTCATCAGAAGAACAAGCTCCTCCCCCTATCAGACCTCTGGTTGTTGTCGCTGACCTTTATCTCCACAACCACAGAGGAGGATCTCCAGACCTCGCTGACCTTAAGCCTTAAGAGGTTGACTCGAGGCGTGACTGCAGAGCAAAGCAACGTGAAAGCTGCTTTTACAGGATGACTCACTGCTCTGTGGTTCCTTTTTTAAAAGGCCCGTCAGCTCAAATCTGAAGGCAGTCAGCCAGTAACAAACCCCAAACACACCTTCTTTATCTTTCTGATGTGGAGTTGTAGCTCGTTGTCTCCAGTAAAACACTTATTTTTTTCTCCTCTAAAGTACAACAAAAGTACATAAAAAAGTATTTATACAGAAGTACAAGTGTCTTATTGTTAATATGAAAGCTGTCACACAGTACAAAACTGATGTACAGTATGTTAAACGTAACATAAATGTGTGTGTGCATGCTGTGTGGACCAGTTGAACAGCTGATCAATTTTAATCCAGCCGCTCCCTTCCTCTCTCTCCGAAACCACTTCAACTGCATGTTTGTCCTCACCCATCCTCCTAGAAACCAAACCGAAACCTTCCAACCTCCATTTATCTCGGCCTTGAACAAACACTCCAAAATCTAAAAAATGTACATTTAGCTGATAAAGAGTTAAAAGGTTTTTAAAACATCATAAAAAACTTAAAATAAAATTATAAAAAATACAATTTTAGTTTATAATTTTATTCAAGTGCAGGCTGAAAATAAAAAAAGATGAGATTATGATTAAACAACTTTGTGCTGCTAGATGCAGCTCCTGCAGGAGCACGAGCCTTTAGACAACTAAACTACTTAGTTAGGTTGAGACAACAAAACTACTCAGTTAGGTTTAGACAACTAAACTACTTAGTTAGGTTGAGACAACAAAACTACTCAGTTAGGTTTAGACAACTAAACTACTTAGTTAGGTTTAGACAACAAGACTACGTAGTTAGGTTTAGACAACAAAACTACTTAGTTAGGTTTAGACAACAAGACTACGTAGTTAGGTTTAGACAACAAAACTACTTAGTTAGGTTTAGACAACTAAACTACTTAGTTAGGTTTAGACAACAAGACTACGTAGTTAGGTTTAGACAACAAGACTACGTAGTTAGGTTTAGACAACAAAACTACTTAGTTAGGTTGAGACAACAAAACTACTTAGTTAGGTTTTGAAAAAGATCGTTGTTTGGGTTAAAATAACTACCGAAATGCTGAATTTACGTAAATCAACGTTGACTTCTTGCTTCACACAGGGAACAGCAGCGTATCTTCTGGAGGAAGCTCCTCTTACATCCCACATAAATGCTCCATTAGTTGCCTCACAATCACTTTTTTTCGTGTAAATGGGTGGTTGCCATTTAAACACACATAAACGTGTGGGCAGACACAGCCTGCACAAACAAAAGCACCTGTCGAACTGGAAGTTTCCAGCAGAGGAATGGATGGGGAGGAGGAAGAGGAGGAAGAGGAGGAGGAAGAGGAGACAGCCTTTAAAAGGCAGATTAAAACCAGTTACACATCTCATTCTGGGAGAAAACCACACACACACACACACACACACACAGTGCTCTGGACTATGGCCTCCACCACCTTGGGTGATGTCCTGCCCTCAGGCGGCAGAATCTTCACCTCCATTCCTGACTTCTTCTTCATCCCAGAGTTTGTGAGTTTCTGCTCATCTTGATATCTTTCATTTTTTTATTCTCTCCATCTTTACCCATCTGAGACTTTTTAAATCTCTCTTTTATCTGCCTGTCATTGCTAACTCACTCGAGTCGGCACTATTTAGATATTAGGATCTTGTTTCTGCCACTTCATCATCATTATCATCATCATCACACTAATCCTAACCCACACACACACACACACACACACACACACACACACACACACACACACGATGCTGTGGTCAGAGATGTTGATTGCTGTGTGTATGTGTGTTGTGTGTACTTGAATATTAGTACTAATACCACGATGTAAAAGTAAAC